CACCCCAGCTGGGCACAGGCGGGGGTCAACCTCAGCTGGGCACAGGCCGGGTCAACCATAGCTGGGCACGAGCGGGAGGTCGACCTCAGCTGGGGACAAGCGGGAGATCAACCTCAGCTGGGCACAGGTGGGGATCAACCTCAGCTGGGCACAGGCGGGGGTCAACCTCAGCTGGGCACAGGCGGGGTCAACCCCAGCTGGGGACAAGCGGGAGGTCAACCCCAGCTGGGCACAAGTGAGAGGTCATCCCCAGCTGGGCACAAGCGGCGCGACCCGTTTAGGAAAAGAGCGGGCGCGTCCCAGACCGACCGTGCCTAACGAGGGGCGTCACTTCGCCGCGAGTTGAGCGGCAGCCTGCAATCACGGCGTCCAGCCGGCTGCCGGCGGCAACGAGCCGTGATGAGCCCCGCCTCCACCACCCGGCGCCGCCGCCCCAGCACCGGCGGGGCACGGTGCCGGTCACTGCTCATCACCGACGGCAGGGCAGCAGGCCGCTGGCTCCGGGCGCCTGATCACCGTCTCAAATCAAATGACAGAGCGTGTGGGCGCCTTCGCTCAACCGAGAAGTGTACCCATCCGCTAATTCTGTGGTGCAAATACACATCTGAACTAATGCGCACGGCTCGCTCCTCACTGTCGAACGTGGTCACGTGTGACGCAGTGTTCTGGACGGCGCCGCGTGTGACGCAGTGTTCTGGACGCACCGCCCAGCCGATCGCGCCTCCCCGCTGACAGATAACGTGAACCAGCCGCTCACCATCATGTCGGACGGGAATGTGTGCGTGGACCGCGTCTGCGGGGACCGCTTCAACTCGATCCAGGCGGCGGACAGTGACGATGTGTCGCTCTACAGTAAGTTCAGGCCGATCACTGCAGTCTGGTGAGAGCCATGCCCAGACGCACTGACGCGTTCACATATGAACTCTGTTCTTCACTTTGACGGCCGGCATGTGTGCGCACGTAAAAGTATGCATGTAGAGGTGTACGCGGTGTTTTAGTTTGATCAGTTATATTGGTAATCCATTTCGGAAGAACAAAATGCTATCTTGCTTGTATGTTGCACGTCACTTATTTAAAAAGGCGTACAGTTATTTGCACTAAAAAGATACTGAGAAGGCTTCATTCGTCGGAGACAAACCAAGATGAAGGGACTTTATTGTCCTGGAAATCCATGTCCATTTTGGACGTAGCGGACCTGCTACAAGTTCGGACATTATGTTTTGAAATGAATGTGAGGGTCGGTGAACACACATTTACAAGAATGGCAATGTCATGCCATTTGTTGGGCCGATGAACAGTGCCAAAACGTTTGCCGGGGGCGTATGCATTGCACTTTTTCGACAACTCGTCTTTGAACCCAGCTTTGTCAAAATATGAAAGCACGAATTGACAGCAATTCTTCTCATCGAAAAGATGAAAACGACCGGAACCGTCCCGGCAGTCTCACTGTGAATGCCGTCGATTGCCCCGCCCCATCGCCTGTCACGTGGATGGTAGCACTCCCCATCAGGTCTCTGGGTACCGAACGAGAAACAGTCATGCTGAGGTGCTGCCGAAAAAGTGCGCCTCAAGTGCACACAATGCATTGTCCTGTGATAATTTACCCAAACCCTGTATATCCGAGTTTATTTGCATAACTCCTAAAGCCTCTTGTATTTAGAACTTAACGTTGACCAAATCTATTGAAATGAGGCGAAATGGATTTTGTGTCGACTTTTCCTCAGGTCATTATCACTGAAAAACTTGACCGTAAATTTATATTGATGAAATGGTAAAGAGTTAAACCGAAACCACCGGGTTGCAAGGAACCAGCAGTTGAAAAATATCGCTGAGTTTAAAAGGTATTAGCTCGCCTAAAGCTTAGTTAAAGCATAGCCGTGCATCTGATAAGCCTAAAAATGAACTTGTTCACCGGACAGTCTCAGTTCGTCTTGAGCGTTCACCAATCTAAAGTTAAGACGGAGATGTCAGAGGTCAGGGAGTCGTGCGCACCCACATCTTTTGATAAGGTTACAAGGGTAACAAAGGCTGTTTGAGAAATTGGAGTTTTATTGTAATCACCAATGGTTTTCCACTTACACGTTTTTACAGGGTCGCAGAATGCTACCCATACGAACCTCTTACGTTCATCGCAGAAAGCAGCCTGCGACCCAAGCAAACCTCGTACGTTCATCACAGAATGCGGAATGCGACTCCTGCGAATTTCTGGCTGCGCTAGAAGAGACGGTTAGCTGCAGAGCTTGTGCTACCCGGATTTGAAAATTTTGCGTAAAAAGATATTATATAACGCTAAAAGACCAAAAAAACAATACTTGAAACGTGTGGTTCAACCAATCAGGGGGTTTATCAAAAAACGTATTTTTTGTTAAACTTTGCAAAGTTCCGCCATCCTGCAAAGTCTGCACAGCCTTCCATAGGGTCCATTCCATATCCATCGAGACAGGTGTGACGGGCCCTTGACCCATCGGGACCACGGTGGCGGGCCCTGATCCATCCAAACTGCGGTGATGAGGCCCTTGATCCCTCGAGACTGCGGTGGCGGGGCCCTTGACCCATCGAGACTGCGGTGGCAGGCCCTTGATCCATCGGAGACTGCGGTGACGGGCCTCTGCATACATCGAGACTGCGGTGACGGGGCCCTTGATCCATCCAAACTGCGGTGATGAGGCCCTTGATCCATCGGGACCACGGTGACGGGGCCCTTGATCCCTCGAGACTGCGGTGACGGGGCCCTTGATCCATCGAGACTGCAGTGACGGGGCCCTTGATCCCTCGAGACTGCGGTGACGGGGCCCTTGATCCATCGAGACTGCAGTGACGGGGCCCTTGATCCCTCGAGACTGCGGTGACGGGGCCCTTGATCCCTCGAGACTGCGGTGACGGGGCCCCTGAGCTGTCTGCGGCGTCCCCGCCGGCGACGCTGGCCGTCTCGGCGGCCGCTCGGGAGACCGCAGCCAAGCCTGCCAACTCCAATCGGGAGCTGAGAGCCTCCTCTCCCCTGGGATACCAACTCCATCAGCACAGCCGACTCCGGAACACGCCACGCTCTCAGCGCGGGCCTCCGCACAGTGCGCTTTGCGATCATTAGGCCTAAGTAGAGACGAGGTGCTTCGCGGGCCTATGTGTCATCTCGCATCGCGGACGCCGCAAAGTGGGTCCCCAGGCGCCTGTGAGTGGAAAACGCACCTGAGACGACACTGCTGGCGTGAGCCTGGCGCCCACGAGACCTGTCGGCCCGCACACGAGACCTGTCAGCCCAGTATGTCTCAATGCGTCGCGTCAAGTTACTGCGTTAATCGGCCACATACGAGCCTGTTTGCACAAATGAATGGCTCAATACAAAAGGCGCGGCGAACTCGTGCGTCCCATCCCCGCATAAGTCGTCGCAGTGGCGCCATTCATAACTTCTGATAAACGAGTCTGGCATGATGTCGGGACTTCTGTGTTTGCACCGGGATTTAGACCTTGGCAAAAGTGGTCGAAGTAGCCGAGTGCTCGGTCCCAATCTACAGCCATAGGAATGCAAACGTGCGGGAGATGACGCGCGTCTGCAAGCGGGAACCGTGAGTGCGCCACTTTGTGCGCATGCGTGCACATCAGTGCTTCGGTCTGTTTGTGTGATGCATGCATGTGCGTGCGTATTCACACCAATGTGTGTATGTGCGCCAGCATGAAAGGTTCAGCTGTGCAGGTTTCCGCATGAGTAGGAGCGTGGTTGGGCAATGTGCGCTGCAAGGCTTTGCCGAACGGATCACGCTTCTGGTTGCTCCAACCTTGCGAGTTCGCCATGGCACGTTTCCCATTTTACTGGCTTATCATCTTGTGTCGACAGTTAATTAGGAAGCGGTTTTCGACTGCGTACGTCGTTAAAGCGCTGTACGGTATCCAGCCAGAACAGTTTCCCCTTTTGGTGAGACCTCCACGGCCGAGCGCGTTGACACCTGATGGTCAGCAGGCGGGTATTGACACCTGATGGTCAGCAGGCGGGCTTCAAGCCGACTTGATCCCAGGGCTGAGCAGTCCGGCTGGCTGAAATGCCAGCCGGTCGACGGCTGGCTGAAATGTCCACAGTGCTATTCTGAGGGCCCAGTCTTCGTACCAATGGAATTCAAAATAATGAAACAGTAAAGGAGGCATATTTCAGCGCACTCAGCCGGCGTTTGAACATGATTGGCAGCGCGATGCTTTGCAATACAAAGCATCTCATCACCCCAACCAAAAGCCCTGGCCGTTTGTTGCTTTCCAATGTGGTAACTGGCCGTTCCTTCAACTCTCGATCGCCTGTCGATAGGCCATCTGGGAGCAGCACTGGGTCCGGAAATCCTGATCGGACCCGCCGGTCTCACGGGCGGATCGAAGCCCATGACGGCGCCGCCGATGGACCTGTGCCCGCAATGCCCCCGCGGTCGCCAAGTCCTGAGTCTGCAATCCAGTCCGTCGCTGTCTCTGGATAGCATGATGGTGGTCATGATGATTGGGGCTTTAAGGCTGGCGAGAGCTCTCGCTGTCGGGTGTTGGGCAGAACGAATTTGGTTGCGGGATCGTTGGCGACATGCCAGAGCACGAGCTCCATGTTCCCATTTGATAATCGTAGATCGCACAGCTCTTCCGTTCCTGACTTTCGGTAGCAGGGCATCCAATAAGGAGAAACTCCTCCGGCTGCTTCGCTTGGACCCAAATACAGCGGCCCTTAATGATGATCATCCGGGGTCACTGCCGGCACCCGTGAGAGCGCGCCCCTCAACCCGGCGATCGTCAACGGCTCAGTGCAGCTCAGTGAGCCCACACCACTAGGCCGTTCTGCTCTGACCCCGCTGGCCTGGCGGCAGGCTTTGTGAAGCCGTTCCGGCTGACGTACCACACAGACTCGGAGGAGGCCGACTCTACTACCAGCGAGACAGACAACCGCGGCTTCTGTCTCGACTACGTGCAGCAGCCCTGCACCACCTAACGCCGACGCTGCGTACAGGCGTGCACCACCTGGTGCAAGCACCTGGTGCGAGCGGGCACCACCTAGGGAGGGTTCCGCGTGCACCACGTGGAGGCGTGCGTCACATGCGCAGTGCAGTCATGACGTTGCGCGCGCTTATTATTACCGAATAATATCGTGCATGATCAAATGAAGCCGCTTTTGAGTGAGTATGCCATCATTTGAACTCAAGTGGCTCGTGCTTACGAGGCACAGCTTCGAAATCAAACGGTGTTGGCGGCCGATGCGTACCCTGTTAATTGTTATCACGTTTATTGCAGTATTTCACACCTGCATGCTTTAACCAAGGCCCAAAGGTGTTGATCTAGTTTTAATTTGTTTTTATGTTGTTGCCACTGGGATGATTAGAAATGTGGGGCTGAAGGTGATCGTACACTGTGTTCTAGCACGCCTTGCAATACATCAGTACGTCATGTTTTATTTACAATACAGAATTACCAATGGAAATACCTTCAGTGCGCTGATGGATGCATGGCAGTGGGTGGGCGGGTATTGAACAAATATGTTGATGTTAATTCAGCGTCAGCTTGTAGTACACTGCATTTCACAGCAGGCAAACATTCGACCAAAGTAACTTCATACACCCGCAAATGCCGTCTGTTTGTGAACGGCGCATCTGTGCCCGATCTTTAACGCACTGCATCGTGTCATCACCGTCAAGTCTACATCATTGTATCACCACCGCCAAGTCTACAACATTGTGTCATCGCCGCCAAGTCTACATAATTGTGTCATCGCTGCCCAGTCTTCATCATTGTGTCATCGCTGCCAAGTCCAGATCACTAGCATCTTCATGGTAACGAGGTGCAATTAGCTCTAGTTCCTCATCCACCATTTTCATTCTGAATCGCCGCAACGCACGAATCACCCGTGGAGAGTTACGTGCACTAGCCATAAGCCGGCTGAGGGAGTGTTCCACATTTGTATGGGGTTTGAATTGAAATAGTCATCTTGAAGATCGTTCGGTGCGGTTCACAGCCCTGCCTTTTTAAGAACTACGCCATTCTGGTTTCTGCGTTACCCGCCCGCGAAGATGTGCAGACTTCTTCGGGGAGAATATTTCAAAGTCACCCAGGCATCCATGACGCTATAATAATGTCGTTCATATCATTTCATTCCATTCACCATGCTGCGATTAAGACCAAGAAAACAACTGTTTTTGAGTAATTCATATCTGGCCTTGCCACGTTTGTGACTACGATTTCCAAATATAACGGCCGACAATTGGCTCTCAATCAAGGCTGTGCGAGGCACGATGACGTCATCAAACTCTGGCGTATTGAGGAAAATATGTACTAGACGGAGATGTCGTGTTGTTTGGAGCGGCCTTTTTTTACAAGAATCTATACTTATAGTTACACGTGAGCTTATTTCGTCACATCTTACACTTGGTTTGATATTTCCAAATGCGGAACGTTCCCTTCAAAAGGCCCCTTCGGGATTCCCTCCGTGCGCCGCACATAGCCGCTAGGAAGTTTCCTGTACGGGGGAAGTTTCAGTAGGCGGAGGACTTCCAGATACATACAGTATTACTTCCCCCCCCCCCCCTACTCTTCACCCTCCTTCATCTCACCGTCCTGAAATGGGCATCGCTTGCAGAAAGGGCTCCGATTCCATCCAAATGACAACTATGTAACGCGTGTTGTCACAAAGCTTTCACTAGGCTTTGATGGCAAATTGGCTATGACGTGCAGGCGGCCTCTCATTTCAACATCGCCTGTTCAAAATTCATCCTAATGTTTTGAATCGTTCGCGACAAAACTCTTATCGCCTGGAAAACCTTCGGAAAACTGTCTGGGTCGCCTGTGAATATAAATTTGCTTCGGAAACTGCCTCTGATTGATGATTGTCATTCCGAACCGTTGGCCATACCACGTCCGTGTTATGGCCCATTCTTCAGGGTGTCGTTCAGTGCAGGCGACCAGCTTACACACAGATTCATAACCATTTATGACAGCTGCTGGCTCAGAGATGCTTACTGATGCCGAGAGATGCAGGCTGATGAAACCAAATGAAGTAAAGTATAACGTACTGTTGCTTAAGATGGCCCTTTCCGCGAAGACAAAACGAAAAAAGCTTCAAGGCAAATGGATGTCCATAATTATTTCACGCGCAACACTGTATCAGGGTAAGAGGAGTAATTCCCCAAACCATTCATTTAACCTCGATAATCTGTGAAATGGAATATGAGGAGACACGGAAGCTTCCAAAATACTCACCTCAAATTTCACCTTTCGCTATTCTAGTACATCTTCACCTGTCATGTGTTTACGTACATGCATAACATTGTTGCCAGAATATGACCACAGAACGATTTTCTCAAGGTCGAATGTCGCAGAGTGGATAATGCTTACGCCTACAGTCGGGCGCATTGGTACACGGTAGCTCCATGGACCGGTGAGCCACAGTTATGCAAGTACGTACACACCTAGTAAGGCGCGTGATTTTAAAGCTTAATCTGAATCATTTATCATTCCTCACAGCACATAGGGTGAGGCCAATGACCCTGAAACCCAGATTGCAAACGAGAAACACGAACGTGAAAATTTCGAATGTCGTTTATGTGTTGAATTATGAATTAGACTCGAGTCACCACTTAAATTCGGCGGATATAATGTTTGACATGACCCCTTCCAGACTGGATTATTCTATATACAGCAAGCGGAAAGTTCCCAGTAATGTCATGCGACGTTATGACACTAACGCCCTGTGCCAGGACTGCTCTGACCAGTTGCCAACTGGCTGATGCATGCACACGAATCGCTCCTTGTCTTCTAATAGGACTCAGGTCCAATGAGTACCAGCTTTCTGTCCTTTTTCACTCGGTTACAAGCACGCAATTGTACACACATACTAGTGTTATGGGGGGGGGGGAGAAGGCTGCTGGTTTTCTTAATGTCCTGTAACTCAACTTTCTATCATCGTGCTGTAGCTCCCAAAGCCTATTGATTGTTGCTTCCGGGCACCAGCCCGAGCTGTTTTTACTGCGAGGCACGTTCCTCCGGCCGTAATGTTCGCGCGAGTGGTTGGTCTCGCTGCAGCACCAGGATCGGCCCACCGAGACCGGGCCGGGCGTACCAATTAGCGCCGGCAGGCAGGCGCGCAACTTATGTCGCAACTTGTCGCAGCGCTTCACGGCCTGTCAACCGTCGTCTGGACCAGGGACACAGAGCGAGGCACCGGCTGTCCGGGCCAGGGATACAGAGCGGGACAACGGCCGTCCGGACCAGGGACACAGAGCGGGCACCGGCCGTCCGGACCAGGGACACAGAGCGGGCACCAGCTGTCCGGATCAGGGACACAGAGCGAGCATCGGCCGTCCGGACCAGGGACACAGAGCGGGCACCAGCTGTCCGGGCCAGGGATACAGAGCGAGCATCGGCCGTCCGGACCAGGGATACAGAGCGGGACGACGGCCGTCCGGGCCAGGGATACAGAGCGGGCACCAGCTGTCCGGATCAGGGACACAGAGCGAGTATCGGCCGTCCGGACCAGGGACACAGAGCGGGCACCGGCCGTTCGGACCAGGGATACAGAGCGGGACGACGGCCGTCCGGACCAGGGACACAGAGCGGGACACTGACCGTTCGGACCAGGGGCACATGGACACAGAGCGGGGCGCCTGCCGGCCGGACCAGGGACACTGGGGAGTGTGTGTGGGGGGAGGGGGGGGGGGGGGGGCGTCCGGCGGACCAAGAGCACAGAGAGCGGAACCGTCTCTGGCCCTACACTCACGGTACAGCGTGAAGGCGCCCTCCGTCGTGCCCACTTCGTTTTTGCTGACGCAGTAGTACTTGCCGTAGTCCTGGTCACCGACGGTGCGGATGTGCAGCGACGTCTTGACCTGGGGTAAAAACGATCAGGTCAGCGGCGCGTGAGAGTAGGGGGCCGTGGAGGAAGGCCGGCGTCCGCGGCGCGGCCTAAGCGAAAAGGCCGATGTGGGCACACTCCATCCACAT